AAATTATATACTGTAAAAGCACAAATAACCTTGGGGGATTAAATTTTGTTTATTTCGTTGTTAACAATATTCAATAAAATTAAATCCCACACGAAATTTTATAGTTTATATATTGAATAGGGTTACTTTCAAAACAACGAAATTAAATGCCCACAAAACCATTTTTGATGACAAAATAACGAAATGTTATGCCCACGAAAATTTGTGCTTCTACAGTAGTCAGTCAGGGGTGTGACTGAAATCCATCATTTTTAAAAATGATGATTTCTAGTCATTAAATTGATGTTTAATAATGATTGAAATTCATCTTTTTTTAGAATAATGATGAAAAACAGTCATTTCTATTTTGAAATTTATTTTAGAAATAGAGCTACCTCTGATATTAAAAATGACTGTATTTCATCCTTTTTTTATCAAATTGTAAGGTCTGGGCACACTAAATTATCTCGTTAGTTTTACAGGGCGCACTAAATTATTTTGGTTTCAATTTCTTGTCAAGATGTTTCTCTACACAAGGGTCTTTGGCAGCATAGTGTTCTATATCTTATTACTGTAGTAAATGGGTTGGAAATATTGACTTGGGAATGGAAATATGATGAAAAGAAGTCATATTTACAAAAATAAGAAGAATGTGTACATTAATATATACTTAGAAGAAATGACCATTATCAATCATTTTTAAAAAAATGATGGATTCCAGTCACACCCCTGACTGGTAGTCACTGCAGTTTTATATTGATTTGTTTACAGGATCAGATATGCAGGAAGTGATTGGAACAGCTATAGCATTTTACCTGTTATCCGATGGAAAGTAAGTTTTTCTTATTTACACCACAAATCTGATTCATTCATGATGAACATACATGTGTTACTTTGATTTACAGTTTTACTACTATACATGATATATAAGCTAATTTGGGCCAAAAAGTCAAGTGAACTTTTCTGATCATTCTTCTGGTGTCTGTCTGTCAATCTTTCTGTCTGTCTGTCAATCTGTCTGCCTGTCTGTCAGTCTGTCTAGTTGTCTGTCAATCTGTCTAGCTGTCAATCTGTCTAGCTGTCAACCTGTCTGCCTGTCTGTCAATCTATCTAGTTGTCTGTCAATCTGTCTAGCTGTCAATCTGTCTGGCTGTCAATCTGTCTGCCTGTCTTTCAATCTGTCTAGCTGTCTGTGAATCAGTCTGTCTGTGAATCTGTCTACCTGTCTGTCTGTCTGTGAATTTGTCTAGCTGTCTGTCTGTCTGTGAATCTGTCTACCTGTCTGTCTGTCTGTCAATCTGTCTGTCTGTAAACATTCTAACTTCCTCTCGAGACTGAGGGAATATGACTGAAATATTGCTGACTCAGCATTACACATTACATGTAACAATTTCTCAGACACAAAAAATGTACAATTTTAAACAAACTATCTAAGAAACATTCTTGGGTAAAGGAGATTAAATCCTTAAATGGAGGACCAAACTTCCTTCCAATGGAAGATATTAAAGAAAAGGCCAAAAATAGGGTAGGGAAAAAAAAAATTCAGAATCTTAACTTCCTCAAAATTCACAAGAACAACTGGGCCAGAAAAGCTGAAACTTATTTGGAAGCATCCTAATATGCTAAAGACAGAAAAAATTAGTGTAGATTATAAATCGTTGAATTCATGGCCCTTGGGAGGAGGGGGGTAAAACTTATCCTCCATGATTCCTTTATATTTTTTCCCATGGGATTTCCCACACAAAATATTGCTAGTAAGTTTCTGAATTTAAAATATTGTTTTTGTTTTATTTCGTCCTACAGGATACCCCTGTATGCGGGCGTGCTGATTACGATTGCGGACACGTTTACCTTCCTTCTTCTGGACAAGTATGGTCTACGTAAACTGGAGGCTTTCTTTGCATTCCTGATTTTCATCATGGCTGTCACATTTGGATACGAGGTAAGAGGTGTCAATCGCATCATCTCGGGTCTTTCCATCAGAGGTCGGAAAAACAACCTCGAATGTTAAGGAGATGTTTATACTGTACTGTTTTATCTGTTTGTTTGTTTACAGTATGTAATAGTTAAGCCAGATCAGCCCACCCTACTTAAGGGGATGTTTATTCCGTACTGTTTTGTCTATTTACATTTTTTGGCATTGGGAATGGTGCGTTTATCGGTACCAGTTATATAAGGAAAAAAAATGCTGAATAAGAAGTCCCTTCTATAGTATATTTTAAGTAACATCATTACATTGAATAAAGTTAAAATCCATCTTCCACAAGTAAAAGGTTTTTTAAATACTCCAATTTATGTACATGTACAGTACTCAACTATAGGCACATTTATTTATTATTATTTTGAACATTGGTTGTTGTGTGTCTATTAATGCTCTTGATTGTTTACAGTATGTAATAGTTAAGCCTGATCTGCCCTCCCTACTTAAGGGGATGTTTATTACGTACTGTTTTATCTGTTTACAGTATGTAATAGTTAAGCCTGATCAGTCCTCCCTCCTTACATGTAAGGGGATGTTTAT